GGCACAATGCTATCCTATTAACAACCAAACCTCGGTAATTTAGAAACCCCTCATTAAGGATCTGTGACATTTCGGGATGCCAGGCTGGGCTCAAGTCAAATATTGCACCACTGTTGGAGGATAAATAAAGGCTTACAGAGCAAATTGATAGAATAGACAAGATTGCAAAGAAGGTGTTAGCCTATCATTTAAACATGTATATTTACACACACGCATAGAAACTCACCCACCAGACTATTTTTCAGACATTATAATAACTGTTTTTTTAAATAGTTTCTTTTGTTTGTATGCAGTTGAAGTTTTAACTATGGTTGCTTTTCATCTAGTCATTAAAGCAAGTCTGGACTGCTGTCTGGCAAAACCTTGTAAGCCAATGATAGTGTTATTGGGGGACCAGGTGCACATTCTACTTCCCTTGAAGTGGGATGAGCTAGAATGTGTTCGCCCTTTTAAGAGGATGATAACACTTAGGAACACGGAAGCAATATGACTGCATTTTTGACATGTACAATACTGGTGGGACTTCTCATTAATTCTAATTTACACAGAGTACTGGCAAGATTTTTAATATTTTCTACTAATCACTTGAAATTTTCTGGTGGTCAAATGCTCTTTGAAAGTAATAATAATAATAATAATAATAATAAATAATAATAATAATGATATCTAGCATTTATATAGAGCTTTATTTTTTGTGAAGTGCTTTACAAACATTACCTCATAACAACTTCCTCATAACAACTCTAGGAGGTAGGTGCTATTATATCCTCTTTGTACAGATCAGGAAACAAAATCAGACAGAGGTTAAGACTGGATTTGAACTCAGGTTGTCTTGACTTCTGGTCCATTACTTAATTCACTGCACCAACTTAGTGCCCACATGGGCCAAAGGGATTTTATAGAAGCCATAGCATCATATATTTAGAGCTCAAAGGAATGAAACAGAGATTATCTTGTTCAGCTCCTTAATTTTACAGATGAGGAAACTAAGACCCAGTGACATGGACATGATGGGGTTGGGGTGCGTATAAGCTTAGATAACATAAGGGTCTGAATAAGAGCTTGGAAACAGGCCAGATTTGCTAATGTGGTGGGCAGCCGGGCAATGCAGTGGGTCTGGGTGGTATCAAGAAGACTCATGTTTCTGAGTTCAAATCCAACCTCAGACTATTTGTGTGCCCTGGGAAAGTTGCTTAACCTCTGTTTGCCTCAGTTTCCTCATCTATAAAATGAGTTGGAGAAGGAAATGGCAAACCACTCCAGTAACTCTGCCAAAAACCCCATATGGAGTCACAATGAGTTGAATATGAGGAGTTGACTGCTGAAACAACCCAACAACAACAATTAGATTATGAGGTAGAGTTCTGTTTTTATAGGATTTAAAGTTGGAACATACCTTTAAAATCATTTAGCCCAATCCCTCACCTTACAGATACTTATTTGTTTTTCCTTTTTTTTTTTTTTTTGGTGAGGCGATCGGGATTAAGTGACTTGCCCACAGTCACACAGCTAGTAAGTGTTAAGTGTCTGAGTCTGGATTTGAACTCAGGTCCTTCTGACTCCAAGGCCAGAGCCGCCTAGCTGCCCATGGATATTTATAATAATGACATATTTGTATAGGATTTTATGGTTTATAAAACATTTTACCTTGATTACCTCATTTGATTTTTGTAACAGCCCTGTGAGGTAAGTACAAGCTCCATTTTATTTATTATCCTCATTTTATGGATAAGGAAACCAAAGCTCAAAAAGTTGGAGCTTTCTCCCAAATATTCCAGAAAGTAATTAGGAGACTTAGTATCCAAATCTAGTTCATCTGATGACAAATACAGTGCTACATTGCTCCAGGTTATAAAGAAAGTTAAATGAGGAAAAAATAAGATAACTTCTTTCTTTTTTTTTAAAAAAATCATTTATCCTATGAAGCAAATTGGGATGCTTCAGACACATGTTAATCTGTAGAAATCCTAGATTTCCCAAATGGCAGGAGTTGAGCAGAGCTTTTCCCTTCTTATTTCAAGCTTAATATTAAGCATCTCAAGAATATCTAATCCCCATTGACGAGTCAAACTGTGCCAACTCTTTCTTTGTGTGTGCGTGTGTGTGTGTGTGTGTGTGTGTGTGTGTGTGTGTATGTGAGAGTGTGTATATTTATGAGCAGTTCATCTGCAAAAACAAGATGAGATCTCCAGAACAGCTATGACTTAGTGGAAGACACTGGGCACTCACTATCCTTTTATCTACATATGCATTCCATCAATACAGCACAAATGGGCCATCATTTGTAATGAAGTCACTGATGTCATTGAAAACCAATAAACACTAATGTCCTATCTGCCCTCAGTTCTGAGTACTAGTCAGGCCTCCTTAGGACTCTATGTGTAGGAATGGGACTCTGTGGTATTTTTGTCAACTGTGTGAAGGATGGATGTACCCCATCTCAAGACAATGCACCCCATTTCAAGATGAACTGATTTTTTCCAACTGGTCCTTGATTTCCCTACCTCCAACCTGATAAGGGACAGTCTAAGAGCTTGGCACCTACTGGTTGTGTGCCACTGGCCAGGTCGCTTAAGATCTCAGTGCCACAGAGAGCTCTCTAAAACTATATTTTACAAATCAGCCATTAATCTGCTTTGGTAGAGTGGGGAATTTCCTGTAGCAATGAAATCGCAGGACAGATGCCAGGACCTGTCCATCATGAAAACCACAACAAGAAACCCTCTGACATTTTGTTCCTTGATGGTACTCTTTCACTCTCTCCAGCCCTAGTGAGATTTTGTGCTTGAAGGATAAGATGAGACTTACTATGTTACAAAGCTTGGGATTGCGGGAATTTCAGTTCAGTTGACATTTCGTAGACTCATTGGGTTTTAATAACTAAAAAGATCAGAGGATCATTAATCTTGACCTGGAAGTGACCTTAGAGGTCATTTATTTCAACCTTCTTATTTTCAAATGTGGAAATTTGGTCCCAGGGAAGTTGTGATTTTCTCAAGGTCATACTGGTAGGAAGTGACAAAGGTAGGATTTGAACCCACATCCTCATTTTGGAACCTATGCTCTATACCGGCTGCCACCTTCTTGGGATCCTTAAAATCACTTGGTCCAGTTCCCTCATTTAAGAGATAAGAACATGGAGATGCAGAGAAGGGAAATGAGTGCTCAGTCACTGGAAAAAGGAAGGAAACAAACATTTCTTAAGTGACTAATATGTGTAAGGTGCTGTGCTAAGTACTTTACAAATAAAAGCACCTAGATGGTGCAGTGGATAAAGCATTGAACAGGGAATCAAAAGACTTGAGTTCAAATCCAGCCTTAGACACTGTGTGACCCTGGGCAAGTCACTTAACTTCTCTGTGTGTTCTCATCTGTAAAATTGGGATAATAATAGCACCTACCTCCCAGAGTTGTAAGGATAAAATTAAATATTTTTAAAGGGCTTTGAAGACCTTAAAGCACCATATAAATTCTAGGTGTTTTATTATTATTTTTATCATCATCATCATCACCAGGATTAAAATCCAGGCCTCTGAACTCTTAACCCAATTCTTTTTAAACAATACCATGTCATTCTAATGTCCTGAAGAGGGCACTTGTCCTTTGAAAGAGTTAGTATGCTTAGGGTTAGGGAAGGAGAACACACTAGATCAAGGCCAGCTGATTGCCCCCTCCTAACTGCCAGCTAGCAATAATGAATTAATATTGAGAAGCACTGTGGAGGGCTTCTGACCATAGTTCTGTTATTTCCTCCCATCATAATCATGAACACTATCAGTCTTGAAGAAGAGTTAGTAGGGATGTAGATTCAACGAACAAGGTACTGAGATTTTGTTATCTCTATTAATAATTCCAATTAATATTTAAGCTTAAAATAACAAGCAGGAAGCAGACTTTGCTGATTACCTTCTGCTGTTTTAGGAGATGAGCACATAAATGTTAAATGTTACTCCCTCTGAAGGACTTGCAGTACTATCTTGAGCCTATGTTTTATTTATAGCTTAAGCTCAATATTCTCAACCAGCTTCCACGTCTTCCATCTGTTCTATAATATCTCTTCCGTCAAATCTGAAAAAAAAAATCACATATTTCAACTTGGGGAAAAAAAAAGAAACCTAACAGCCAAATCAATATTTTCATTGCAAAATGGCAATCCTGATGAATTTTTCCTCAAATTAGATTCGTTCTTCCATATCAAGTTGTGGAGGCGGGGCAACGGACGGCCTCTAGCTAGACAAGATGTTGAACAAACCTCAGAATTCACCGGCAAATCCCAAATTGCCTTCCTTGATTAACTGAGATTGTTATGGAGTTCTTTCCATGTGTAATTTTATTTCATGGGCCAAATGAATCAAAATGAATGCATTACCCTCATAGATGTCTATCATCCCTCTCTCACTACCGCTTAAATAAGCAACCTTCATTCCTCCAACCACATGTCAGTGTCAGCTAACATTTAGGGATGATGAGAGATTTTTCATCGATTTCCTTTTGATCAGAGATAGTTTAGAAAAATTTAACAATGGAATATTGGTACCAAGAACTCCATTAGTGCTAACCAGTGATAACTGGTAGTGGTCTTTCTAAGCAAAGCAAATATACCAGTATTTCAAGAAAGAAAGAAAGTAGTTTGGAAAATAGGATTTCCTAGGGGCTAGGTCCAATTCAATTCTTCAATGAATAAATTATGCTTTTCTAAAAGTGATGATTTATTTTCAGCTACTCTAGGCCCTTAGAAGAATTTGTGACTGACTCTGAAACAGTGGAACACATGTTGGATTCCACTTGAAGGACCTGGTTTGAATCCTAGTTGTGTTACTTTTGACCTGTGTGACCTTGGACAAGTCACTTATTTTCTTTGGCCTTAGTTTCTCATCTTTAAAATCTGGGGCATAGCCTCTAACGGGCTCTTCCAGCTTGGAATATATGGTCCTAGAATAAATATGGTTATAATTGCTTGAGTACAATATGTATTACCAGCTATCTCTTCTGTTTTAAAGGGTGTTGTTCAAGATGTGAAAGTCATCTTCATGCCAAATGGATATATAACACAATGTCCTAATCTGAATCGCAGTAAGTAGCAGCTTGTTGACTTGAGAATGTGCAGATTGCGATGATCTATTAATGGCTTAGGTTCTATAAACATGATATTTTTAGGCCAACAGCTGGAGTCTGGCTATATTGACTATTAAAAACTGTAGAAATAATGTTTTTAGAGTACAATATTTACTTTGGATGCTTTGTTCAGTTTTAATGCCTAGCACAGGGGTGGGAAACCTGTGACTTCAAGGCCACAAGTGGCCCTTTAGATCCTCAAGTACAGCCCTTTGACTAAATCTAAACTTCACAGAGCAAATCCCCTTAATAAAAGAATTTGTTCTGTAAAACTTGGACTCAGTAAAAAGGCAGTACCCATGGATCTAGAAGGCCATATGTGGCCTCAGTTCTGCAGGTTTCCCAGGCTTACTTATCGATAGCACTGAAAAATTACTTTAGGTGTTCCAAAATACATGTCAGGTGCCTACTTGAAAATTTCCAATGGCTCTTTATTGCCTCTAAGATAAAATACAGAGTTCTATTCTGCCATAGAAGGTCATCCACAATCTGTTTGCCACCTACCTTTCCAGTCTTGTTTCATATTTCTTCCTTTCATGATCTCTCTATTCAAATCAAACTCATCTTGGAGAAGTTTGCCCTACATGACATTCCATCTTGTCTTAGTGCCTTTGCTAGTATCCCCACTATGGATTGTATAAACATGCCATGGTCAGGCTGGTGCACATTCCCTAGTTTCCTTCAGTATATAGTTCAGCAGCTATACCCAGTACCTTCTAGACCACCCCCCTTCACTTCCCCCAAAGAGCTCTCTCCACCTTATTTGCTATATATTTGGTACTTACTATATATTTGGTACTGATGATGATGATGATAAAAATAATAATAAAACACCCAGAATTTACATGGTGCTTTAAGGTCTTCAAAGCCCTTTAAAAATATTGCTATATATTTGGTACTATTATATTCCCACAATAGCTTGTAATCTTCCAGTAATCTATAGCTGGTAATAACTCTTCTTAAGGGAGAGGGCAATTGGCTTTTTTCTTTGGGTTCTCAACATCAAGCAAAGTGCCTGGCTTAGAGCATAGGTGCTCAACACACATTTTTTTGAATCATACTGGACCCATTTTCCTTCTCTTTAGATAATACCCTCTTTCTAGTCCCCCTGTTCTTGTCTGTCAACAAAAAGTTCCAGATTTGAAATTCACTTAGATTTTACTCTATTTCTTATCTCTGTCTCTCACTCTGCTTTTGCCTCTATATATCTCTCATGCTATTTCTCTTTCCCTCTCTCTGTTTCTCTCTCTCTCTCTCTCTCTCTCTCTCTCTCTCTCTCTCTCTCTCTCTCTCTCTCTCTCTCTCTTTCTCGCACACACACACACATGCATGTCACTAGGAAACCAGGTAAATGCTGTTTTTCTGGCTCTGCATTGACATATATGTCTCTATTTTCTTTATTGAGCATGTCCAACCTGCAGTGATTTCTTAAGCCTGGTGCAAGGGATAATGGATTTGCAAGAGCTTTTGGCCAAAATGACTGCCAAAGTAGGTACCTGAATTTTACTTGTGATATGTCATTTTGTTTCTCATTCCTATCTGGAATTTAGATGGATATGCTATAATGCAAACATTTATCCTTGGCTTCTGCTGCATGTTACTATAAAAGTGGTTTATTCTTACTTACAATAAGACTAGTGATAGTAAACATAACCATTCAGTTTTCTAATGCTACTATTTTTATCATGATGTTTATTCAAAGAATGTTTGGAGGCAATATATATCATGTCTAGTTCTATAATCAGAGGGTCTTTAGGTAGCATAAAGAGGAATGTAGCCATTGATTATTGAGTAGGAAAAGGTAGAAACTAGTATAGTGCTATGTGGTCAAAGTTACTGTTGCATATCAGCCATTACTCTTTGGATCTGAGATCAATTACAAAATAATCAGAGGGGGAAAGATATGCTTTTCACGTATGCATTATAAACACCTATGGGAAGGTATTTTATCACTACCGTGGATGTCATTAATAACAGGGCTGTCTGTGGATGAAATAGTGAAGGGGGCAGATTTTGTCTTCACATGCCCCCAATCCTTTCTGTAGTCTTTCTTCCCTTTTAAAGTTCTTCTTTCTCAGCTGGCCTCCCTTTCTCCAGGCAGTTGTCTGATGACCTGTCTCCTTTGGATATATTCTTATATTCAGAGAAAGTTCCCTAGTACACCTAATTTGGCCTCACTCAACATTCTTTGCAGAGGTGAGAGGATAGAATATGTATGCAGAGCATTCCATGTACCATCAAACTCAATTGATAAGTTTTGCTGGATTGTTTTGCTGAAATGCCTTCCCTCCTGCCCCCACTCTCTCTTCTTTTTTTGTTGAGGATGTCTCTCTTGGTAGAGGAGGAAGGCATACATGTGGAAATGAAGGTGATATAAAAAGGACAAATAAAAATTAGATTTTAGATATATTACCCTTTGCAGAAATGTATGAAATTTAGGAGAGATTAATAATTACCATGCAAGAATGCGCTGAGCTAGCATGGTGTGGTACAAGAAATGCTAAATTTGTAGTTATAGGACCTGAGTTTGAGTGCTGACCTTGCATTTAGTTCCTGTATGATGTTTCTTAGAACATCAATATCCTCTCAATGCCTCAGTTTCCTCATTTATATAAAATGGGTTTGAATTAGTGATTACCAAGAAGATCCTTCCCACCTCTAGAGCCATGAGCCTATGGTCTCGTGATTTTCTATATTATTTCAAGTGTCAGGAATAGGCAAGAATGGAACATGTTTTCTAGCACACAGATCTTGCTTTGTGGTACCTCTCAAAGCTTTGCATACAGGTGTTTTTTCCTCCTATAGGTAAGAGCTGTGCTTATTAACGGTTTGGGTGGATATTGTATGATATGGTGATAGGATCAGAGATGAGATGTGGAAGGGATGTCAGAAGCCATTTATTCTATTTCATAGATGAGGAATTTCATTTCATTTTGTTTCATTTCAGATATAAGGTACTGAGGCCCTAAGAGGTTAAAGGACTTCTCTGAGGTCATACAAGTAGGAAGTTACAAAGGCATAATTTGAATCCTGCTCCTGTCACTCTAAATCGAGTATTCTTTCTACTGCACTATACTGCCTCCAATTGTGTATGTGTTTATGTGTGGGTGTGTCATTATATATGTAGGTAGGTAGGATGGTTATACCAGAAGGTAGCAATGCAATAGTTCACAGTTTGGAACTATTTTCAAGTTATTACAGCATTCTTTTATTCATTCATTCACTTATTTATTCATTCACTTCTTCATTTGGTTACTTATTTATTTAAATGTTTTGTTGATGCTTTTTAAAACATTGCTATCATTTCTTTAAACAGTCCTCCAATAGAACTCTCTCTTGAAACAAAGAATTATAGTTAAGCAAAACAGCATGACACATTTGCCATGTCTGGCAGAATGTGCTTTATTCTGCTACGTCTTTTCTGAGTGGAGAGAAATGTATTTAATCTTTAATCCTTTATAGACAAGATTGGCCATGACATTGATCTAGGTTCTGTTGGGATTTAATTTTTTTTTTACCTTCTATTTAACTCTCTTTGGCTTCTTTCTATATTGCTTTCTTGGTTCTGGTTATTTTCCTGTATCTTATTTCAGTTGCTTGGAGCAGGGGCCATAGGGGTGGTTTACTATACCTAGGAAGTCACAGATCTAACCCTCCCTCATGTCCCCCCAAATAATCAATTTCTCCATATTTTTCCAAGTTTCTCCAGATTCTTCCTCTTCATCATTTCCCCCTGTACTATAACATTCCATTTTGTTCATGTAACATATTTTGTTCAGCTCTTTCTCCACGGACGGCATTGCTTTTCTTCCAAGATTCTTTTGACCACAAGAAGAGCTTCCATAAATAACTTGGTATATAGCATCACACTATTTATCATAAGGAGCATCATAAAATCTCATGTAATTGGGCAAGTTAAAGTATTCATATTGTGAATTTAATTAAAGGCCGAGAATAAACTCCTTTTTGTTGCTGCTGTCATTGAAAATTCTCCTTTAACTGAATTAGTCCACTCTTCTGCCTTAGAGAGCCTTGGCTGAGGTTCATAAATCTGTGGACCTTTTCTTCATGTCTAATGGCAAGACATCAAATTTGCAAAATATTTTACATATATGACCTCATTTTGAGCCTCCCAACAACTCTGTGAGATCACTTCTCATGCTACTGTTAGCCCCACTTTACAGGTGAATAAATTGAGGTTCAGACAGGTTAGGTGATGTGTTAATGTTCATTTGTGTGGCTAAGCCCTCGGGGGAAGAAGTAAGGAGATTTGACAAGGCAGTCTTTGAGGGAGTTATGGATGGGAGACTGGACTGGGGCTCTTATGGACTTTAGACCTGTGGTTCACCTAGTTCATATCATGGACCCCTTTGACAGTCTGCTGAAGTCTATGGATACCTTCTCAGAAGAATGTTTTCAAATGCATAAAATAAAATACAAAGGATCACAAAAGAAACCAATTATAGTGAAATACCATATTTTAAAAAAAATGAATTCATGATCCGTAAGTTAAGAACTCCTCTTTTATTCTCAGTGCTGAATTCCTGGGATAGACTCACAGCATTGTCCTTGGAGAATGGACGCTTGTACACAATTTTCCTGGTCCTTGTCAGGGAGAGGGAGGGAGAAGATGTCCCACAACAAACCATGGATTTTTTTTCTCTTCTTCTCTTAGTCCTGATGTTTTTGTATTTACGGACATAGCCTGTGAGTAATAGAGTTATGTGAAGAGAGGCATTTGTTATGTCTAACCTGTTCCTAGCACTGTTGTTAAAATATCAATCAGTTTTGGACCTCAATTAAGGTAAACAGTTGGAAAACCATTGAGTTGGGCCTGAGAGATATTAGCTCTGAGAAAGTGAGGATTATATAAAGGCAAAAACAGGTGCAATTAGTCCCATCCTACCTCAGGCTACGGCTAATTCCCTGCCACTGGGTACACCATCCCCATAGCATCTGGAGAACTTTGTATTGGGTGGGTTAGCATTGTGAATGTCAAGATCAATTTAAGGCTTTTGCCTAGATGGATGAAACAGTTCCCTTGAGTAGACTGATCTTATTTTTGAAACCACACTGCATTTTGCAATCCATACTGGTATGTTAGCTGTTTTGGCGGGTAGTTTCTAGAAAGACAGAATATTTCAACATGCACACACACACACACACACACACACACACACACACGCAGAGGAAAAGGCACATCGACTGGCCCTGGTCATCTGAGATTTTAAGTGTTAGATTTTTTGCTGATATTACCTGTGTAAATGTAAAAAAAGTGCAATTATTCAGCTTCCCGATGCGTCGCCTACATAGGTTCCTATTACCTATTGTCTGGAGCGGCTTGGTCTCCAGGCTGCTAATTATATTTTAGTTCACCACCACATTTTGGGAACAAGAAACATGCCACTCAGGTTCAGATGATTAGGAGTTCCTGTTCCCCTGCTTAGGGAATGCCCTTTTAGTTTTTCCTCTTTTGTATGGATGAGAATGGCATTTTTTCTCATTTTAGCAATGCACCCCGATGCCCTGTTGTGCTTAATGAGAGCATTACTTTATATGTGGGACACATCGAGACTAATTGTGAGGCATTTATAAGCTGAGTATGGAAGAATCAACTTTTTCAAGTCCCCCCCCTTTGCTATGTTTCTAACCCTGCCACTGTGATCACAGAAAAAAAGAAGCATTTGTGTTCTTAAGTATGTATTTTTGTGTCAGCAATGGCCATGGAGAAGGCGGGTAGAGTATACATGGGCTATTCAAGGCCAATCTGGAGAAGTCATGCAGTGGAAAGGGATAGGGCAGAAAATGAATTGGAAAGAAGGGAAATGGAGAGAGAAGATGGCAAGGCAAGGAGAGAAGTGCCTGTATTTTTGATCCCTTTGTCAAACACATGTCTTCCAGTAACTTTCTGAAAGAGAGAGACGTGTAAACTCAGCCAGTGGCAGCTTTTTGGATGACAAGAAAGGGAAAGGAAGTGAGACAGTACTCTTGAGTCATTCCTTTAAACAGAGGGAAGCTTGATGAGCCATGCAGAACACCAGTACCTCCTGGCCCCTTAATAGAGGAGTCACTGCGATGGGGGATGTGAAATGAGTCGAACCCTAGATAAAGATCCTAGGTGGGGGAGGAGGAGGGAACAGCATGCTACAGTGACAAGTATATGCAGATCAATGTTCTCCCTTCACATCATTAAGCTCTCCATGCCAGAGGATTTGGGAGTGTCCTTGGGGGAAGGTTGATCTTAATGGGCCAGCCTGGCAGCACACGTGGTTTAGAATGAAAGACATTCTTATAGAAGGGTTAAGATGTGCTTGCTAAACTTAGAAAAGGCGGGTAGGCACAGTGGAGATTAAACCAAAGGAAACTCAAACATTTGCCCGTTTGATCTGACTATTTTTATTGTTGAGTTGTATAGGAGGACAGAGCCTGAGGTAGGAGCCAACAAGCTGGCATTAAGGCCTTGGTTTAGAACAGGGTCCATAGACCTT